GACAGAATAAACGTATTGCTGTTTTATATTAACTGTGTCATTTCGGAATCCATTCTTTACATAGTTGTTCATTTACTTTAGGGAACACGCGGAAAATTATATTTTTTCCTTTTGTTTTTATATCAAAATTTTTTCAAGTTGCAATCACGCTAACTAGCATTTCGATAATATTTTTAAATTCTTGTAAATTCACTGCAAAAACTTGAGGAAAGTCATTACAGAAAATAACAAATGTCTTAGAATATCTCGCAAAAAGAAAAGCTCCAATATTAGTTAGAGCTAGTAAGGCCGAACGCTCCGTTCTTGAATTAAAAGTGCGAGCTTTGCGCCAAAGTGACGTCACTAGAGAAAATCGGAGGATTGCCGCGGCGAGAGCTACTTCAAAGGAGTGAACCAGCCCTCCTATTCTCTTTAGCCCTGCAGGCACTCACTCGCATTTGCAATTTTGTGAATGTGAGAATAACTCTTAAGACAACTGATTGCACATGTGTGATTCGCATTAATGCGCGATCACATATGCGAATCATATTCAGTGAAAATGCTCCTTAAATCTTATATGTTGTTTCTGAAAATTCACTCCTACGTTTTACGGTATAAAATTAAGAATCTGATTAGTGTACTGTATTCATGCAGACTGACATGAATGAAGCTTGAATGAACCATAGGTCTGAAAGAAGCCAACGACACCTCCGATTCACTTGTCGGCAATGATTCTTAACGTTTCGGCTACTCCAGTCTGTTTCTTAAAATCACTACGATTTATCTTACTTAATAAGTGGCAACAGTAGCGTGTTTCTTCGGAAACCTTGTTTGTGCAGTCTGAATCGTAAATTTATTTATTTATAGTTATTTTTTCATTTGTAAAGGTAAATAATTAAAATTATCTAGCTTCTCAACCCTGTTTAACTTAATTCAGGAATATCTGTCTTTCTTCTTTAAAGAGAAGTTTCCCTAGATATATTTTAGTTTTGTTTCGTTTCAGATAGGACATAAGGCTTCTAGAATGTCATCTTCGCCGGTAGTTATACCTGCCGCTACGAAGCATACTGCATCTGTAAGAATAAATATAATCAGTAATTTCTAATTACTTTCATGTTTTGTTAAGATATTTTTCAATCTATAATTTCTGTTCGTTGATGACACCTTAGTTCTAATAAACTTCTGGCAAATGTCTACAAGGAAATGTTACCATATGATATAACTCTTAAGACGTTTGACAGTTATCATATTGGAATATTTCTTTCACAATTCCTTAATAAGACAATAATTCTATGATTTCCGAATGTTTTAATTATTCAGAAAGTAAGGAATTATCCACTCAGTGAGGAACCTGCAGAAATATGCAGGGATGAGATTCTTCCGCGCATTCGCGGATTTCCGCTTTTTTTCAGATGTTTCCATTTTTCCAGCTAATTTCCGCTGAAATTTATTTTTTGCACAAGTTAAAATGTTTTATGAGGAATTTAATTTTCCGCGGAGGGAAATTGTTGAAGTCCTTTTTCCTCCCTCTGAAGTTTCTCTAAAAATAATTTCTTTGGGATAAAACTGGTTGACCTTTATACAGGGATGAGATTTTTTTTGTCTCTCGAATTTCAGCCTTTTTATCAAAAACTCCGATTCTCTAAAAGTTTCGTTTTTTTAAATAAATATCCCGTTTTTTTTAAATTCAGTCATTGAAGTAAAATAATTATATTTATTTACGATTTTCAAAGATAAACAGAAAATTCAATCTACGCCCTAGCTGCTAACCCTTCCGCATTTTTACTTATTTTAGCTATTTTCTCCGATTTCACGCACAGAAAATAAGATTTTCCGTATTTTTTATCCGTCGGCTGGATAGCTCGTATTTTCGTAATTCAGATCTCGATTTTTATTCACGCGATTTTAATATCAATCATCGATTTTCGTATTTACCTGATTTAAAAGTTGCACATTGCGATTCTTATTTACGCTATTTAAATATCGTATATTATGATTCTTATTTACGACATTTAAAAATCCAATATCGTGTTTTGTATTTATGCATTTTTAAAATCTCGATTTTATTATCAAATCTCGATTTTCGTATTTACCTGATTTAAAAGTTGAACGTTGCGATTCTTATTCAGGCGATTTAAATATTGTACAGTGCGATTCTTACTTACGAGATTTAAAAAATCAATATCGCGATTTGTATTTACGAGCTTTTAAAGCCCTATGTAGCAATTCGTATTCACGTGAGCTTAAAATCCAATATCGTGATTCGTTTTTGTGGTTGTAATATCGCGCGATTTAAAAATTATGCATCGTGATCAAAAAATTAAAAAATCATGATTTGTATTTTCGCATTTTTTAAATTCGATGTAGAGTTTTATATTTACGTGATTTAAAAGTCTCATATCGGGATTTATATTCACATGGTTTACAAGTTTAAAAAGCGCACTTTTTTGTCAAATTTTTGTATATATATATATATGTATATATATATATATATAATATTTTTTTTTCTTTTTTGTTTTTTTGGATTTCCTCTTTTTTACTTTCTGATTACTCTCATCCCTGAATATGCAATGTTTGTGATAAACACCAAATCTTTGTTTACTTCCACTGTCAGTTCTCTCTGAACAAAGCATAGAACTTCACGGCAATAAAGGAAAAAATAATTGTCATATACACAGAGGAGTTTTTTTTATTTTTCTTGCTGCTTTTCTATGATTGTCTTGTATAATTGACTTGATTATGCATTACACTGTTCCAAATATTAATTGGAAAGTCATTTTTTAATCTCATATTATTGTGATTTTATTGAAAAAAATATTTCAATGAGTAATTTTGAAATATATTAAGGGACAGCTTAACAGATTAAACCAGGGGACAGGGTAAACCTGGAATTGTCAGGGAATTTTACTTTAACTTTGAAAATCTGGGAATAGTCGGGGAAAGTTGCTATTTTTTCACGAAAACCTTGAGTATTCCCTATATCATACGTGGAAAATAACCATTCTGAAATTTGTCAGTAACAGTAATCAGTTATTAAAATTCGAGTTAAATAATTCTAGCATCTAGTACAATAATTTGATATAAAAATTTCGCATTTTAGTCAAACTGAAATGTTTACATCCTCATTAAATAATATTTTTTTACCCAGAAAATCTAATATTTCACATTACGAATAATAGAATCAATGTTTTCTGATGAAAATGTATCAATTTTCATTGAAATTTACTTGGAAAAGTCAGGGAATTTTTTTTTTCTGAAATTGAGTGGGAATCCTGTTAAAATATATTTATAGAAAAGTGACCTATTTAGTCATTTTTGTGTTTGTTTTTTTATGTTTAATAGATTTTATTATATTTTACATTTATTGCTAACAAGGTTGACATGACCAAAGATAAAGAGATTAATAGTTTTTTTTTCTTTATGCTAGGTTAAAGCAGAAAATAATTGTAAAAAAATTTTCTTTTTAATTTACATTTTTGCCATACATATTTTACTATAGTATCAGAAAATTATTAAAGTTGTGATACATATACCTTTAAGTCTTGGTTTGTGATGTATCTAGTTAATGAAATTCTGTCCTTCTAAAGTTTTAAAAATATATTGTAAAAATTTTGTGTAATGTGAAGATTTTATTTTCTTATTGATATCCCTCTAACATTTATATATTTTACAATATGGCTGGTTAACTTTGATAAGTATGATACTTAAAATCTAGTCTTCGAGCTGTTTGGATTTTTAAGCTTATAGTGCATAATCATTCATGTTGGTACCCTTTGAGTGTTTATTCTGGGAGATATTAATTCCATGATACAAAAGACTACATAATGAAAAATAATAATAAACATTTAATAGCACCTCTCCATTAACAAATTTTGTAGTTTTTCATTAATTAGTTTAAATATAAAATCAGAAGTTGTAGTGAAGTATTTTATAATAATATTAAGAGAAAAAGTTAGTTTAAATTTTAATACAGTTTGTACTTGTAATATGTCACAAGAGTTTCTCAATTTGCTTTTTTCCACATGTTGATTAATCTGTAGTTTCTTGTTGATTTGAGGGGTTTTAAATTATTTAAAAAAAATAAACCCATTATATTACTTATAGAAGAAGAATGATGTCACATCATCAAGATGTTACATCATTTGCCCAGACTTGCACAAAAGTGCTTTTATTGAACAATGCATGTTGGGCGTGTAATTCATAAAGCTGTTGTATATGAGATCGATTTATTTTTTTCTTCCTTGAACTTTTTAAATTTTTTCATGTTTTGCTTGTTAGGCAAGTTATTTTTATGTATTCAGCTTCCTTTTTTTTCATGTCTAGATTTTAATTATCTTTGCATTATTGGTAGGCTTTATGAGCTTAATTCGTTTGTTAAATTTAATAATAATAGCCTGCCTATTATAAAATAAGTGAAAGGTCACAAAAAAAAGATTAGGAGAAGGAAAAAGGTTGTTAAAATTTAAAATAATATTTATATAAGATAGTTTTGAATTTTAACTACCGTTCTGATTTCAATTTTCTGAAGCGTATGAAATCAATGTTATAAGTTTTTCTTTACAATTTTTGTTTCAGCCTCTTCAGAAAGTAATAAAAGTTTTTATTTATTTATACTACTACTACACAAAAATATTGAAAAAAAGCCACTTATCACTTTCAAAATAGAGCCTTCAAATAAGTATTCTGTTACTTAATTGATCTTTTGTTGAAGCCTGATGCAATATATTCATATATATTTTAATTTAATACCACAAATATCATTAAAATTGCCAATATTTTAAGCTTTCTATTGTGTAACTTTCTATTGAAATTATGTTTTCTGTTAAGCCTTTCTAAAAACAATAAAATCAAGATCAACTTTTTAATTATTTTGGAATAAAGTTCACTATAAAATATACTTTATTCTTTCTTTAAAGCAACTTATTATGTACAGAATATACTTACAAGATAATATAATCAATACAAAATTCTTAACAAAATAAATTGAAACATTTTTAACAACTACAATGACAAGAAAAAGTGATTTTTTAAAAGAAAAAGTTTTTGACTGGCATATATTTAATAATGATTAAAATATTTAATAATAATAAAAGTTATTTAATTTGATGTTTATTTTTAATGCATGAATATTTTAGAATATTTAGATGTCAAGCTTACAAAACTCAAAGAAACTGCCTGACTGCGAAGCCAATGACCGCGGGTTTGAATCCCGCTCTGGGCATGGATGTTTCTCTCGTGTTGTCCTCTGTTGTGTGTGATGAGTGAATGTGGCCCACCCCATAAAATGGGTTTGTGGCGTGGGCAATGTTACTCGCCTCCGTGACTTTGGTTCACAGGTGCCCATTGGGTAACGCAAAATGCGTAACAACTCTGGCATCTTCTAAGGCGAAACTAATACAGTTCAGTGCCTGCCATTCGAGAAAGAAAAAAAACTCTAAAAAACTATAAAAACTTAAGTTAATTTTTTTCTTTTAATCCCAATTTGTAGATTGTAGATTTGTTGATTGTAGATTGTTTCAGATTGTAGATTTCTTTCTAATATTATTGATTTTAATCTTTTGAAAATTATCCTTATTGCTGACATTAATTTTTGTGATATTTATCAAATTTCTTGTAACGAATAAAGTTCAGTGCCTGCCATTCGAAAAAAAAACTCTAAGAAACTATAAAAACTTAAGTTAATTTTTTTCTTTTAATCCCAATTTGTATTTTTCAGATTGTAGATTTCTTTCTAATATTATTGATTTTAATCTTTTGAAAATTATCCTTATTGCTGACATTAATTTTTGTGATATTTATCAAATTTCTTGTCACTGTGGTCATAATGAACTAAAAAGACATGTTTAAAATCGAAATTTGTATATTAAATGATCATCCATTGCCCTACATAGTTAGAATTCTAATTAAAAGTTTGAATTATCTTCCACTAATCTGCTTCATCTGACACCTTTCATTTCTGGGAAATATCTGAATGAACTTAAATGATATATTCAAAATCTGGATATAAAGTGATCATCCGTCACACTAAATAGTTGGAATTCTAATTATAAGTGGGGATTTTCTTCAGCTTATCTGCTTCATTTAACGTCCTTCATTACTGGGAATCAGTTTCATATTTTAAAAAATTCTAGTTTCAACATTCTGTACCTTGAGTTTCTTTCCTGATTCCTGCACACCTGTTTCTTATCCCCTTTTTATTATGTTGTTCCTCTTCCCCTGCTAGCCACTGGTTTGTCTGGTTACTTTTTCTATTACTCATTAAGAAAGGTTCTTGTTTATAAGACTAAAACAATAGTATGTCCATTTCTGTACCTTTATTTGAGATTCATTCACGTTGTATTGCTTTATTTGTACGTAGCTCAAAGTACACTCTATTTGCATTTAAATGTAAATTATTTGCATATATAGATTATAAAATAATTTAAATAATCTGACAAATGTTTAATTCTTAGTTTTTTTTAAAAAAACATACATGATGACATTTAATGGTTTAAATTGAATATAATATTTTTTATAGATTTGTTTAGATCATTTTATCCTACAGAAAATGAATATGTATCTTTTTTTTTTTTAATTGCAGGTAATATTCTTACATGGTTTAGGAGATACTGGGTAAGTGTTTATTGTGTTTCCAGTATTGTGCATGTTGCGGACATGACATTTACAAAGTTTGATTACTCATAATTAAATGAAAAATTGAGTTAGGTAACTGGCTTTTGTATCATAAAAATCAGGAGATAAGTCTTCTACTAACACAATGCATATTTAAAGATGAAAATTAATTTAAACACCTTTAAAATAAAAGTTTGAAGTGTTGCAAACATGACGCTAAAGAATATGGTTTTTAGAAAGTTTTTCTGCATTCACCAAAGTCTCTGAATTTTATGAAATAAATTAAAACCTTTTTTTTATGTGAGATTTCAGTGTGTATTTGTATAAAAGAAATCACAAGATTTTTGAAGAAATAAAATAAATTTAATTAAAAATTATCAAATTGAAAATAACATGTATATTGCAGACATGGCATTGCAGACGTGACAAAAAATTTCTCATTACACGTAACCTTCTTAGATGGTCATAGATTGTTACAACATTACATATTTCTTTTGTTAAATAAAATATTGAGTGAATTATGATTATTTAATAATTTTTTTTTAATATTTTTAACTTAGATTATATTATAAAATTAATTATTCTAAATTACTTTTATTTGTTATATTATTTATCTTTAAAGCAAGTTCTGAATTGTATGGAGAGAGAAAACGTACAGAATGATCAGTTGAAGGATCACATGGCAAAGAGCATATGTATGAGTCAATTGAAATTGTTTCAAATTGCAGTTTTCCGAAATACTTAAACTTGTTTATAGCTACGGACTTGAACTGGTGTTTAAGTGTCATATTTGTCTTGCTTGTAGAAATTATTTGGCTAGGTCACCAATAGTTATCAAACAATACGGCTATCCACTGGACTTCTTCTAAAACTGTAGCTTGTTGTTCTGGAGCTACAGCAAGTTTTGAAGGCAGTTTAGTAAATATTACAACTAGGTGCCTGATTTGAGGGCTAGAGAAAGGAGAATTCAAGGAAAATTCAACTGAATTAAGTGTTATAGGTGCGATGAAATGCAATAATCTCTTATTTGGGATCGATTTGCAGAGACTATAACATTCTTTCCACATTGATGCCTCATGGTCGACAGACTCTTGCTTACGAATATAATTTTTACATTTCCATTTAAAAATTTGCAAGCCACTTTAAAAAAAGATTTTGCATCAACAACAACTTCTCTACCTTGCAATGACCAGTCAGCATCAGGGTTGAATTCTTCTTTGTGACAAGCTAAATTTGCGAATATAAATCTATTTTTGAATTGACTGGCAGCTCCATCAGACAAGAAATGTACTTTTTTTGTTTTATTAGATGAGATAAAATTTCTTTATTAAAAACTTTCATGCTACCTTTATTGTGTGATAGGTCATTAGAGATAATAGCATACGACTGATGGTTTAACGAATTATTTCTGCCATTCTTGAAATATGCAACACGAGTGTGCACTCATGATTTCCCGATCATGTTTTACAGTTTAGTTCTCAGCAGAGTCAATATGCATTATAAGTTTATTCTCTGAAAGATTTTCTTTCAAATGACAAAATTCAAAATGTTGTTCGTTAGCATTATAAATGTGCCTTGCAAATGATTGGAACTGATATCCTATTTCTTCCTTTGCACTACCCAAATCAGCAACAATTTCTTTAACTGTGAAACTTTGTTCATTCTGTTGCCATTGATAATACTTGACAATGTTGTCTTAATTTTGCTCTGGTATTTTTTGCATCTGAATATTTTTCGCCGCTGCATTCTCGACAAGATCTGTCTTTGCAGTAAATATGTTCTTCATCAAAATTACAAACACTTGTTTTGAAATTGTTTCAGAATTTTTCAGAGGATCAGGACAGATAGCTCTGATTTCCGAAAGAATCATAGCTATATTTTCAGGTTATATGCACATACAGACTTTCTGGTCCTTCTTTCCAGGCGGAAAGGCGTACTTAGAATGCAGCTCAGGAAATTTAATTTTCCCAATATTTATATCAGAATTTTCTCTAAAAATCACTCATATTTTTCTCCAATACTCATCACTAAATAATGCTTTTGATGTCTTTCTCTTCTTTTGGGTGTTTTTATTGATATCACAACTTTTAATTCAGTTTCTTCTGCTAATTTATCACTCCTTGTTTTTCGACTACTAGTTTCATAATCTGTTCTTAAAATATACACCTGTTGTCTTTTGTTTTTAACATAATTTTCAATTATCTGGTTTATTTTTAATGGCGACATTTTTGATATCACATCTGTTAAAACATCAAATTTCTTCTGAGGAGATTTTGGTAACGCATTATTAATTTTCTTTACCGCTTTTCCCAAAGATTGTCTGCTGACGTAGTCTGATGTATTCATGCGTGATTTTTCAGCTTCTGCTTTTTTTCTTTCTACATTTCCTTTGTGCTTCTTTATTTTTTGTTCTTATGTGCTCCTTCTGTTCTTCAGCAAGAAACTTAGAATTTCTATATTCCTTCTTTTTCTTGCTTTTTTCTGCTTTGATAGTTTCATATTTCACTGCTTCTGCTTTCAATTTCTGTCTTCTCAGTCTGGACCTTTCTGTACTTGTTAATGGCATGAAGAAATTTATAGTTTTGCTACTTAGTTTATAATTCTATTATCTGTTCCAAGTTTCATAAACTTTTATTAATTATATAATAATCAAGTAAGTCAACTAGTAAAGAGTAAATCCTTTCAAAACTCAAAGGAAAATTTAATTTAATAGAAACACATCTGCAAATAAACATGTGCATAAACTAAATAATTTTAAAAATAATGTTATATTCTAAACACTGTTCTATTCTAATTAATGTTCTATTTACTGTTTTGTTGCCGTCATTCCTAACATAATTTAGAACAAATACACATGTTGCCGTAAATGCTAATGCTTAAATTTATTTATATATATATTTTTAATTAAATGAAGAATTTAGACATGTTTTAAAGTAATTTGTCATTGTAATTGGTCGTTAATAAAATAAATGAAAGCAGAGCAAATTTTATAAGTTTTATAATTTGTGATACAAATTTATTGAAAGTGTGGGGAGAGTAGTTACAGACCATGTCAACCGTCATCTATGAAAAGGTACCCCGACATAGAGTCGAGTTAACATGTCTTATATACTAGTGAATTGTAGTTGTAATTTTGTAGTGGTAGATACGCTACAGTACTCCCCCACCAGAATTATAGCTATGATAGAATTCGATGAATGGATGCCACTAGTTGATTCATTGCTGTTTTTTGCGAAGCCGGGAGAGCTGTATTAAGATCACCGTATTT